AGGTATAGAAAGCACTTTCTTAATACTAGAATTGGGTCTTTAAAGCAATGTATGTGCAAACTAAGTTTAAACCTTATAGTGCCTTGATTAAGTATGCTATTTATTATCCTAGATTAAAATAATTTGCTATTTTAGACCTAAAAATTAAGCCTGTTTACAAACTTAAAGATAAATATTCAACCAAGCAGTTAAGATGTAGAGAATGCTTTCTTTACATATATGTACCACTACAGTTCAAGATATTGTATAATAGGATATCAAATGAAATATAATAGTGAGTACAATGAATTCAGAAGAATGGTCTGTACTGAAGAAGTATAGACAAACTTCATGAAGGATGTAGAGCTTTGGTTGCATTTTTGATTAGTTAGATGGAGGGGAGGATGGTAGTTCAGATAATAGTAATGATCCAAGACTTAATACTGTTACACTCAAGAGATGGTAAATATATTATTTTGATTTAAGTAGAGGTTGGAAACTAATGGAAACTTCAACAAAGGGGTATAGCCAGATCGTAGTATTACATACCACGATGTTTTATGTATATGGGTTATGAGGTTTTGTTTTAATATGAGACTCAAAACACTTGGTCTTAAGATTTATATAGTAATTAATAAGACTTGATGTTGTTGGGGTTATAATGCTTAGGTGTTTTTGGTGTAGGATTATATGAGACAAGTTTTAGTGATGTGAGGACTGGTATGCTTTGTGTCTTGATTAAGTTGCATCTAATTTTGTGGATTTTTTCCTTTAGTCTTGACATATTTTGTAATTTGATTATTCTTTGGTTAACAAGGTTTGGTGGTTGAGAAATTTTACTTTGGCCATTTAATACCTTTTATTTGGCTAAAGATGTTATTTTGCTTTTAGTAGATGAGTAAAGGAGTTCAGAATTATCTCTGGAGTCTAGTATCCATTTTCAATAAAAATGAAGCAGTAATGTTTTCAACCTCAATTTTGGACTCTCAGGCAATGAACAAGCTCATAGCTCATTCTCAAAAGTAATTTACTTCGTGTTTTGTATTTTGGTTTTTAACCTTACTCTCTCCCAATGTGTATCCTCTTTCTGATGATGCCAAAACAGAGATGAGGTTGTAGTGTTTGAGATCAGTAAAATGATCCACCACTTTAATTTCTTTTAATTTGAAGTTTTGGAAAAGAAGTAGATGAGTAAGGAACACGGGATTGAAAATTTTCTGGAGGGAATATTTGAGCATCTGTATCTAGACTCTCCTCACTACTCTTCAGTAGTGTTGGTGTGAACTTACCTTAAATGTTAAAGTTATATCAAGTTTTAAGTCTTGTAAAATTATTCCTAATTATTCCTGATTTTGTAAATAATTCTATAATAAACTCTTAAGTGTATATACATACTTTTTATATGTATATGTACTATTTTATGAGGAAAAGTTAGTAAGTTTAAGTAGGGCAGACTTAACTATAGTTTTCTTTATTAATTCACGTACTAAAAATAAATCATGTAAATTTAAACTACAATGTTTAAATTTATAACTTATAAATTTAACTTATAACTTTGATTAATTTGAAAATATTCAGAGTTTAAAATATGCACATGGCTTAGGTTTTTAACTTTTTCTCTGCCTGCACTTTACTGACTCCTCTCAGAAGCATCTTTCATTACAAGCAATATTATTTTCACCCAGGTTAACAGTATGGGTGTGTTCTCCTGGTAGGGCAGGTCTTGCTTTTATCTCCCCTGGCTGTAGACTTTAAAAAGATTTTTTTTCCATTGAGATTTCACTGGTTTACAACACTGTGTATGTTTTGGGGGACTAGGTTCACAACTCGTCAGTTTGAAAGTCACTACATCACACACACCACAAGAGAGCCCGTAGTCCTTTACCATCAGCCATCGGGCTCCCCCCATCTTTACATCCTTTCCCTCCCACTCTGGTAGCCTCAATTTTGCAGTCATATTTCTATGATGTTTTTTGGTTTAGTTTTGTCAGTTGCTTTGTTTTGTTTCTTTGTAGTCCACGTATGAGTGAAATCATCTGGAATTTGTCTTTCTCCTTCTGGCTTATTTCACTTTGCATAATCCTCTCCAGAATCATCCATGTCCTTGCAAATGACTGTTCATCTTTTTTATAACTGAGTAGTATTTAATCATGCACATATAGCATGTCTTTTTAATTCACTCTTCTGTCATTGGACCCATAAGTTGTTTTTGTAACTTAGTTCTTGTAAATAGTGGTGTGGGAAATACAAGTGTGCATATGTCCTTTGAATTAGTGATTTTGCATTATTTGAGTAGATACCTAGACTTGCTGGATCATATGGTAGATATTTTGTAATTGTTTGAGAAATCTTCATACTGTTTTCTATCAGGGTGGGACCAGTCTTACATTCCCACCAACAGCATACAAGGGTACCCTTTTTTCCCCTTTGTTTCTAGTCTTTTTGATGTGAGCCATTGTCATAAGCTTGAGATTGTATCTCATTGTGGTTTTAATTTGCATTTGCACTCATGCTAAGTTATGTTGACTATTTTTCATGTGCCTGCCATTTGTGTGTCTTTGGAGAAATGTCTGTGTAGGTCTTTTGCCCATTTTTTGATTGGATCTTTTGTTCTTGTTTTTCCCTTGAGTTGTATTCTGTGTAGATCTTAGATATCTGTTAGCCACTTGTCAAATGTATAATGTAGAAATATTTTCTCCCATTCAATTGGGTGTCTTTGTTTTAATGACAGTTTTCTTTCGCTGTACAGAAGCTTTTAGTTTGATATATAGTCCTATTTGTTTTTGTTTCCCTTGCTGTTGGAGTTCGTCCCCAAAGATATCTCTAAAACATTGATGTGGTGTGTTTTGCCTATGGTTTCTTCTACATATTTTATGTTTTTACATTTTAATCCATTTTGAGATAATTTTTGTATATAGTGTGAGAAGATGGCCTAGTTTCATTTTTCTGTGTGTGGATGTCCAATTTTTCCAGTACCACTTGTAGAAACTTTCCTTTCTCTATTGTATACTCTTGGCTTCTTTGTTTTAGATTAACTGCTTTTAAGTATGGTTTTTTTTTTTTTTTTTTTTATAGAGGCATGTTTTATTTATTTATTTGTTTGTTTGTTTTTGTTTATACATGCACTGGGTACAGTCAGAAGCGCGGGAGGGTGAGAGAATTCACCAGAGCCAGAGCGGGGAGCAGAGCAGGCAGAAGGACCAAAGTACACTGCTGAGGGGAGCAGCGGGCGGCAGGGGAGGTCTGCTACGCCATGTGGGACCCTCCTCTGGTGGCCGGGGAGCAGCTGGGGATCGAACCGGTGCCGCAGAGGCCGCGGGCAGCTTCGCAACCCAGCGCTCAACCACTGCGCTACCAGGGAGGCCCTTAAGTGTGGTTTTATTTCTGGTCTCTATATTCTGTTCCATTGATCTGTGTCCGTTTTATGCCAATACCAACTGTTTTGATTACTATAGCCTTGTAGATTAGTTTGAAGTCCTGGATCATGATACCTCCATTCCTCTTCTTCTTTGTCAAGATTGCTTTGGCTACTTGGCATCTTTTGTGACTCCACATAAATTTCAGTATTGTTTGCTCTATTTCTTTGAAGAATTTTTTTTTTTTTAACTTTGGTAGGGATTGCACTGAATCTGCATATTACTTTGTATAACATGGACATTTTACCAATGTTAAATCTTCTAATCCATTAGCATGGAGTATCTCTTCCTTTCTTTGTGTCTTCCATTTCTTTTAGCAGTGTCACAGTTTTCTTTGAATAGGTTTTTCACTTGCTTTGTTAGATTTTTTTCCCACAGGTGTTTACTACTGTTTAATATGACTATAAATTATTTTCTTGATTTTTTAAAAATTTCTAATTCATTACTTGCATATAGAAATGCAGGTTTTTGTATATTGATTTTTTTATTTGGCCTGACAGTCTACTATATTGTTTCTAATAAGATATAAAAGGAATCCAAAAAAAAAAATATTGTGTGTTTCTACTTAACTACTACATAATGTAGGTGCTGTATATAGTTTTGTAGAAGCAGTGAAATAAGTTAAGTGCACAGACTTAGCCAGGCAGTATAGGTTTAAATCCTACCTGCCTCTAATCTAGCTGTGTGACTTAGGGCAAATTACTTAATCTCCCTGTGCCCCCCTTTTTTATTTGTCTGTAAAGTAATGATAATAGTTGGCTAATATGAGAATGACGATTTAAATGATAATTCCTGGTACATGTTAAGTACAAATTGACAGCAGTTATTTTCCATGCATAACATATAGTTTATGTAAAAGTGTTTTTTTTTTTTTCAGATTGTGTATGTTTGTTGCTTGCTTTCATCGAGAACAAGTTGGTATCATGGAGATGCAGGTTGTTTCTCAGTTTTGGATCATCCATTGACTTAATCAATTGGTGACCCCTTGCCATTTTATTTTAATACAAACTTTGACTTTCTTTGAATACTCAACTGGAACTTACTTGCTGTAGACATTTTTGTTTAATCATATTATGAAGAGGTGATCCCAGATCCTTAGTTTTCATACCACAGATTACCAGTGACTAATTCTCATTTTAAATTGTCGAATGATACACAGACGATTTCTATGTTTATGTGTTTAATTCTACATATAAACTAATTCATAATCATGCCCAATAAAATGTAGTTCCCTAAAATAACCTCTACCCTGGCTTTTCATGCTACTGAAAATGTAGTTCATAAAATTATTGTCAAATTTGAGTTAGAGTAAACTGAAAAACATTCTTTTCCTAATTACAACTTTATTGTGTAGGTTTACTTTCCATTCATTTTAATATGTTATAAATCTCTCTAGACTTGCTTTGATTTTATATCCTATTTCCTGGAAGACTGTTCTGATTTTCATTAGCTTTTTATTTCATTCCAAAGGCTACTTTGTAGATAGACATATTGTAGAATCAAAATAAATGTAGTAAAATTTTATTGGAGTTCAGGTTCAATAAAGATGGTTGTGTTTAACTTCCACAAGTTATTTGTGGTTTTTCCTGAACTTTTCTCCTGCAGCAAAGTTCTATTTTCATTAACTACACACTATTTTAAAGTAGAAGATGGTGGTGAAAGATCAGTCTGTGTCACCTTTGGATTTTTTTTCTTCGTCAAAGCAATGGCAGTCTTGATTGTAACAGAAAACTATCTGGAATTTGGACTCGAAACAGGTAATTCACACAACTTTAAAAATCAGTTTTGCCTTATCTGATGACAATATTTTTTACTTCAATATTTTTAAGTTTTACCTGATAAGTTTTGAAATTTTTGCTTCAGATGTATATTATGTAATATTTAATAATTTGACATTAATATATTATAATTAATATTCTTATTTACAGACCTGTATGCTTTGTATGCACATTCTCACAAAAGTTTATGCTGTTTACCTCCTTTTTTGTTTGGCAAGGTCTTCTTCTATTTACCCTTTTGAACCTTTCTCCCTTCTCTCATCCGCTTAACCTCAGAAACCTCACTTTAGTGTTCACTAATTAATATTTATTTTGCTTTATAAGTTCATCCTTTTTGATTATTTCACTCATATATGAAATTTTCCAGTATTTGTCTTTATTTACTCTATATAACTCCCATCTCAGAGCTGCTTCTGTTTTGCTGTAAATTACAACATTGCTTCTTTCCTCATAGCTGAATAGTATTCCATTAAGTGGATATATCCCATCGTCTTTATACAATCCTCTGTCATTGGGCACTTAGGTTGCTTCCAGATCCTAGCTATTGTAAGTAATATTGACAAACATCTCATTTTTTGAGATGATGGTTTTATGATCCTTAGAATATGAAAACTGGGATTGCTAGATCATTTGGTATTTCCATTTTAAGTGTCTCAAATGGGTTCACACAGCTTTCCAGAATGGCTGTAACAGCTTTTATTCTACCAAACAATTATTAGGGTTCCTCTTTCTCCACATCTTCTCAGGCACTTGTTGGATTTTTTAATATATGCCGTTCTCATAGGTTGAGATGCTGTCTCATGGTTTTGACTTGCATCTCCCTATTAAAAGTGATCATGAGCATCTTTCTATATATCTCTCTTGGCCTTTTATATATATATTTGACAAATTGTCTTATCTGCTGCCCATTTTACAAGAGTTGCTTATTTTGTGTGTGTGTGTTAAGTTGGATAAATTCTTTGTATATCTTAGATATTAACCACTCCTTAATTGTGTAATGTCTGAATATCTTCCCTGTTCAATAGGATGCCTTTTTAGTCTAATTCTTTCACTCTGTAAATGCTTTTTAATTTTTGGTTGTTGCCAGTCTAAATCTTTAACCCACGTAGTATGTATTTTTGTGCATGGAGTTAAAGAGTGGTCCAACTTCATCTTTTTACATGTGTCCATCAGTTTTCCCAGCACCATTTGTTAAAAAGTCTCTCTCTCTTGTATGGTCATTTCTTCTTTGTCATAAATTGTGTATTGATGTGTGGATTTATTTCTGGCTTTTAATTCTATTCAGTTGGTCTATGTGTTTGTTTTAATTCCAAAATCACATTTTTTTTAATTACTATTTCTTTATGATATAGTTTAAAATCAGATAACATAGTGCTTCCATTTTTCTTTTTTTGACCTTTATTCCCAAGCAACATCTTTTTTTGTTTGTTTGTTTTAGGTGTTTTTTGTTACTTAAAATACAACTGTTATAGGGCAACCATAATATAAAATAAAACGGGTTGCCTGGCTGTGGGTCCTCACCCGCGCTCTTAAAAGGGACTTATTACTACTCCACTACACAAAAGGTTAATAAAAGGTTTATTTTCAAGGGAAAAGGAAATAAGGAAATGTACAACTCAGGGAGAAAATAGGGAAATAACGTCTTTAATGCGTCCTACCCGATCCGCCGACCTGGAAACCCAAAGGCACTCTCAGAGTTGGCTGGATGTTGCAAGCTGGCAGAGAGCCAAAAATGGGGGATTCCCCTCCAAAGCCCACGTGTCTGGCTTTATACCACACCTGGCTGCTTAACCCCACCTTCAGGTCCCACCACCTTCCCTTTGGTGGTGATGGGATTTGGAGTTCCCAGTGTCTTTTGGCTTTGGTCTGGAGTGGGGGGAGGGGTGAAGTCTACAAAGCCTGTATGGAATTAGCTTTAGGACATCCTTTTCCCCCTAACACCACCTCCTCTGATTTTTTCTTAAAGTTAAAATACGTTAAGGCTAAAGTTTATCACATACATAAAGATAAGTTTTATTGCAAATTTTGTGCACACTCAGAGAAAGTATAAATATCAAGAAATGTTTTCTGGGGCCTCCCTGGTGGCGCATGGGGTTAAGACGCAACCTGTGAAGCTGTCCGCAGCCTCTGCAGCACAAGTTCAATCCCCTGGCCTGCCAGGGAGTAACCCACATGGCGCAGCAGACCTCTCCTGACTCGCCCGCTGCTCCCCTTAGCAGTGTACTTCGGTTGATCTGCCTGTTCTGTTCCCCGCTCTGTCTCTGGTAAATATTCTCACCCCCCACACCTCTGGCCTGTACCCCAGCTCTTGTATGCATAAATAAATAAATCTTTAAAAAAAAAAAAGAAATATTTTCAAACACTTTCTGCTAATCAAATTTTATTACATTATGGTATACTAATTAATTGTCACATGAAAGGGCTAAACAAGTCCCTTTAAAATATAAGATGTCCATTTGCTAGCATTTTCTTTCCAAATAAAGAGTCTGTTGATTACCACTGTGATGAGTAAATTTTTTTTTTTCCTACAGGGTTTACAAATTTTTCAGACAGTGCGATGCAGTTTCTTGAAAAGCAAGGTTTAGAGTCTCAGTAAGTTTTTTATTTTAATTAAGCATTAAATTTAATTTTAGTAATTTTAGCTTAGTAGAACAGCATTTATTAGAAATTGGTCTTTGTTTTAATCAGTGAAAAGAATTCTTTAGGTAAGACTTCCACTTTCAGAAATGCCTTTCCTTGTAGATTTCACATTTGTATAAAATTAGCATCATATAGAGAATTCATATTTGAATTTGTTCTTATTTAATCTGCCACCAGAAGTTAAGCTTAATTTACATCTGAGTCATATATCAGATTTTGCAGATTGGGTTGTTACAAATGTGACTAAAGCGATGCCTGACTCAGTTTATAATTTTCCAAGATTCATTATAGATAATTGAATTAAAAGCAATCTTTTCATAGATGTTTACTTTATATTATTTTTGTTGTTGTTGTCATTATGGTTTGTGCAGTAGTTGATTAGAATATAGGTGATTCCTAGGAAGTGAAGAATGAAAATTTATCTTTTTTTTTTTTTTTTTTTTAAAGGGGTCCTGTTTCAAAACTTACTTTCAAATTTTTCCTGGCTATTTTCTGTTCACTCATTGGGGCTTTTTTGACATTTCCTGGATTACGGCTGGCTCAAATGCATCTGGATGCCCTGAATTTGGCAACAGAAAAAATTACACAGTAAGCGGAAAATGTACATAAGCACATGCAGATAAATATATGTTTTCCATCTTATGAAGGTATATTATTGTGATGAAATAAATTATTGTCTTGAAAATAAATGATCATGTGATATCACATTCCTCTTTCTACAATAAACAAGTTTCTTTTATTTACTTCTAAATTCTAAGTTCTGTGTTAAAAATATACCATCAAATTACCTAATCTCTGTTTACCTGTGAAAATGGAAACATCAGTATCTGTGTTCTTTTTAACACAGAAGTCAATGTGTGTGTAATTGTAATCTCTGCAGCTGAATCTGGAAATTCCACTCAAATCAGAGAATTTAAAGTATCTAAATTTTAATAAATTATTTTATTAAACCAATTTTGTAATTTTACTGAAAATATTTTAGTTAAAAAGTTTTTGAAAGTAAAATTTGTATACATAGAAATGTTTTTCTTAAATAATTTTTGTTGTAAGACTTGTTAAAATAATACATTATTTGGGGGTTGCTATTATTATATGCTGTTAATCAAATTACTTTTAACTACCAAGTTCTATTTTGGTTCTTAATTGGAGAAATCATATCTGAATCTCTACATGTACTTTAAAGCCTGTCTGTGATTATCACAGATAGGCAAAATGACAGGTTCCTACCTCCTTCAACTCATATCCAGATACAAATTCTTGTCTCATCTTTTTTACAGTTGAAGTCCAAGTGGAGAATGTTACATGTTGATAGATGTATTTATAGTCATGTTTTTGAGTGATCTTATTAACAATATCTTTGCTCTTTAAAAACCCTGTATTTGATGATAATACTAGTCTTATCAAATTCTTACCTATATCATGTGCCTTTATTTTAATTGCAACAGTCTTTGTTTTTTCCTTTATCCTCATTTTTCTATGTATACTTTATAAGTGTGTTTACTTATTCTCACTCCCATTATACACTCCTTCATCCCTCTTTTTTCCCTTCCTTTTACTCAGCATGCTCTTGGCTACATCCTGCCTTTCACCCACCATCCAGCTCTCTAATGGCTTCTTTTAAAACAAAACCTGGCTCCCCCCCTCCTCTACACACACACTTCAGTCCACTAACCCCAGTGTTATGATTTAAATAAGCTGAAAGGGTGGGTGGAGGGGAGCCCTTCACCAGCTACTGAAACCGCTGTGGGCTGCTCCTTGATACTAGAGTGTTCCCTAGCAACACTGCATACCTAATACTGCTGCTTTCTTCCCCCACACTGATGGTTTACCCAGGCTGTGGGATGAAAGAGTCACTTTATAAAAACATTTAAAGCATTTGGTGGTGGTTTGAGTGGGGGAAGGGCACGTGTTTGTTTCCTTTTCAGTAAAACAGGGCTTCTTTTTTAAAAGATTTTTCCCTTTGGAAATTTGGAATATGTTATTTTCAGTTAATTGTACAACCTTCCCCCCCTCCACCCCATTTTCTTTTGGTTGTGGCACTCAGCTTGTTGTAAGGGTGTGGGCTGCCTAGTTCTGTTGTGAGAATTGCATGACTGGCACAAAGAGCAGCATTCTCCTCACCCCCATGACCAGGCACTAGAACTTGTTTTAATGCCAGTGGTTAGAATCAGAGTCCACCTTTCTCTGTCAGCTGTTCATGATTTCCTGAGCTAGCCCTGTTACCTCATACAATCACTATCATTTCCCTGTAGAGGTATTTCAGAGTGTGTGTATAAGTGTGTTTTAAGCTACCTAAGTTTAGTCCTTCATCATGGTTTATAATGAATGCAGTACATGGCAGTAATATAGTCAGAAAAACTTGTCTTTTTTCTAAAATAAGGAAAATCTTTACTGGTCCTCTGTTTCTTTAAGACACAAACTTGGGAAAGCAATTAACAATGAACTTATAGTTCAGGCTTGAAACCTTTTGTTGTATTAGCTGTATTATCTTGTCATGAATAATGTAAATACCCTTGATTTGTATGTGATAAGAAATTAATTTCACATATATTCCTAATACTTCAGGAATAAAAATGCGTGTATTATTGTGATTTTTAACATTGTAATTAAAATATTATACATGATTATTAATGATTATTACATATTGAAGTTAAAAGTTGTTGCCTTCTAGTATTATGGACTTTGCCAATTACTTGTTCCTTGTAAATAATAAGTATTTTGTTTCAGCTGCCCTGCAATGTATCAGAATGACTCTTCTACACTGAAAATTAGTTGGACTCATTGACTATAAAGTTCGAGAATCATTTAAGTACCTGTGTTTTAAATCAGTGAAGCTGTATAAGATTATTAAGGAACACTGGAATAAAGTGAACAATTTAGATTTTAGAGCTAGATCTCCTCTAACCTGTTAATATTGCCATGAGCAAGCCATTTAACTTACCTGGATTTAAATGTTCTCATCTGAAAAATTAAGATAATGAGGTAGTTTTGCAAGGATTCAAATCAGTGTGAAATGATAAATATAAAATTATAGTGTCAGTAGTACCTTAATATAGAAGGCTGAAATAAGTTCCCTCCTTCATTTTTGTAAGTGAATTTCTATAGTTTATTAATTTTTTTTTCTGGATTTTTATGTTTATTTCTTATCTACTTTCAGAACATTACTTCATATCAACTTCTTGGCACCTTTATTTATGGTTCTGCTCTGGGTAAAACCAATCACCAAAGACTACATTATGAACCCACCATTGGGTAAAGAAAGTGTCCCTTTGTAAGTATGGGTCTTGGAGGTCTAATTTTATAGTCAAGACTCTTTTGGAAAATGTTATATGTGTACTTACGTTTTTTAATGACAATATTGAACCCTATTTTAAAAACATTAACAGAGACCCTCAAAGATGTATTAGAAAACTTTATAACTCATTGCTTTTTGTGATCTTCTTTAATAAATGTTAATAATTATTACCCTGCACTAAATGATCTTGTAAACTTGTAAGTTTTTCTGCTTTCTCGCTTAATAGCCAATTGTTATCTGACATTTTTCTGTTGTTGACGTACCTATATTTCAGATACTTGTTGCAATTCTCTTAGTTTTTCTCAGTTGTGAAAAAACTGGGGGTCAGAGGGAAGGAGTAGTATAAACAAATTAATATTATAGGGCAGCTTCTATAAGAGTTATTAACATTTTCCATGTTTGCTTCATCCTTATTTTGGCTTGCTTTTTGATGAAGTAGTTTTTCAAATAAATTAGAGACTTGAGATTTTTACTTCTCAGTACTTAAGTTTGCACCCTTCAGAAATACCAATTTCATACATATAAAAAATTTTTACACTTAACAAAATTAAAAACAATACCTTAACATTATTTTCTAATGTTAGTTCATATTTCCCAAATTAGACAACTGTATTTTAATAGAAGATAGTAAGAAAACAATTTATTAAAAGGTGATAATAACTATGCTTGATAGGTTAACTCATTATCCTGGGGGGAACTATGCTAGAGGAATGGAACGGTTCAGACAGATCTGGTTCAAGCCCCAGTTCTGTTTCTCACTAAAACTGTCACTTGAGGGAGATTATTTAACTTCACTGAACTTCTGTTTCCCCATCTGGAAAATGAAGATAATAGTATCTACCTCACAAAGTTATCATTGGAATTAAATGAAAGAACACATGTAATGCAACCAAGTGGAAGTAAGTACTTAATAAATGTTCCTTTCACTGCTTTGCCTCATCAAAATTAAAATAGAAAACCTTGAGTAGTCATTTATTCCACGTTGCACATTTCATATTATATACTTATAGGTCCTGGTCCAAATTTGTCTCAGAATATAAGGAGTGATGACCATGACCTTAAAAAATTATTTTTATTTTTGAATGAGGGATGTGTTCCTTGAAGTTGATGTTTTTTTCACGACACAAATGAACCTTTAATGATAATTTGACAGATTCGTATGTCTGTGGGCCATCTGAATGTCTTTAGAGAAGTGTCTTGAGGTCCTTTGCCCATTTCTTAATTGGGTCATTTCTTTCTCTCTTGTTGGATTATGTAAGTACTTTGTACATTTTAAAGATTAACCCCTTGTTAGATATATGGTATATATGGTATGCATATATTTCTTGCCATTTTGTAGGTTGCCTTTTTTGTGTGTGTGTGATGGTTTCTTTTGAGCTACAAAAGCTTTTAATTTTGATATAGTCCCACTTGTTTATTTTTGCTCTTGTTTCCCTTTACTGTTGGGGTTGAGTCTCCAAGTACATCTTTGTGGTAAATATCCTGTAATGTGTCCCCTGTATTTTCTTTCTAGTATTTTATGGTTTCGATTTTTATGTCCCGATCCTTAATTCATTTTGAATTTTTTGTGTATAGAGTTAAATATGGGTTTCACTTTATTTTCTTGTATATGGCTATCCATATTTCCAGCACCATTGATTGAAAATTCTGTCCATTCTCCATTGTATAGCCATAACAGCATTGTCACTGATTAACTGTCTATATAGGGATTTATTTCTGGGCTTTCAATTCTGTTCCATTTGTCTGAGTTTCTATATCATACTGTTTTGATTACTGTTGCTATGCGATAATGTTTGAAGTCAGAAATTGTAATGTCTCCAATTTTCTTCTTTTCTCTCAAGATTGTTTTAGCTATTCGGTACTTTTTATGGTTCCCCATTAATTTGATAATTGTTCTTTTTCCTTTAAAAAGTCATTAGCTTTTTTTGTTTATAGGTATTGCATTAAATCTGTACATTGTTTTGGATAATATGGTCATTTTAATGATGGTAATTCTTCCAATCCATGAGCATGGGCTATCTTTCCATTTCTTTATGTCTTTTATTTCATTTAACAGAATTGTATGGTTTTCATTATACTGGTCCTTCCACCTCCTTTGTTAAGCTTATTCCCAGCTATTTCATTTTTGTTGGCTTGGTTATAAATGGAACTGTATTCCTTATATCCATTTCTTCTGATAACATTGTTTTAATATTAGAAAAGTGCCACTGATTTTTGTGCATTAATTTTGTATCCTGCCACTTTACTGTATTCATTTATTCTAGAAGCTTTTTGTAGACTCCTTTGATTTCTCCAAGTATATTAGCATGTCATCTATGAATAGTAAGAGTTTCATTTCTTTTCCAGTTGGGACTCCTTTTATGTCTTTTTCTTGCCTAATTTCTTCAGCTAGGACTTACAAAAATATGTTGAATAACAGTAGGGATAATGGACATCCCTGACTTGCTCCTGATCTTAGTGGAAATGTGTTTACCTTTTCACCATTGAGTGTGATACTGGCTGTGGGTTTGTCGTACACACATTTTACAAGATTTAGATTGGTTCTATTCCAATTTCTTAGAGAGTTTTTATCATAAGTAAATGTTGGATGCTGAATGCTTTTTCAGCATTTATTGAGGCTTTTCATTTTATAACTTTTTTCCAGTAAAGGGGTAGATAAAGAAAAGGATCCCAATATTCTACTTTTTTTCTTCTGCATAGCTGTTAACTATAATTCTTTCACGATGGACTTAACTATTTGACTCTTTTATTCAAGTACCTATGGAAGAGTAGCAAACTTTAATTTTATATCTTTAATTTTATATAGCCAATTGTAACTAAGTATAGATTTTTTTTTACATCTTAAATGGTCAACATTAACACATATAACTAGAATGTTAGTATATTGATCTTTGAGAATACCGTGTCAACTTTTTGATCTGTAGAATGACAGAAGCTACATTTGATACTCTGCGACTCTGGTTAATAATCCTGCTATGTGCTTTGCGGTTGGCCATGATGCGTAATCATCTACAAGCTTACTTGAACTTAGCCCAGAAATGTGTGGATCAAATGAAGAAAGAAGCAGGGCGAATAAGTACGGTTGAGCTACAGAAAATGGTAAGTTTTATACGAGGGTCAAAATGGAAACTAGCAAATACTGTTTTGTTTCTTAAAAAGTTTAGTTTCCTTTAATAGTAATTTTATCCCATAGTATTTTAAATAAATGGGATAACCTTAAATCAAAAGGTAACACAGAGACATTGAGCTCATTCTTGTGTGAAGAAATGCACTCAATTCTTCTTCTAGGCTTAAGTGTGTTTGAAGTATCATACAATTGGGTTGTGCATTGCTGTAGTATGCCTAATTTTGCCATATGGGACCCCTTAATTGATTTGAAAGTTATTACAATGTAATGTCTAGCTATTATGACTTAACAAATAGGAAAAAACAGTTTTAGTGACTAAGTGTATTCCTTTTAACAGTATTCTAAGTACTTGACATGAAATGTAAATATTTAACGTAGTGGATATACCAGAGAAGGAAAATGCCATCTATTATAGTGGAAGAGATCTGTAATATGATTTGTCTTTTTATAGAAATTTTGTTGGATCTCCTGTTTTTGAGTCTGTTTCATAGTTGGGAATGTTTATCAACTTCTCATGTGTTTTCATACTCTACAATTTTACCTAAGTTGAATATATTCATGTAGAGTAGAGATTTAATGTTCTTATCTCTTTTAAACAGTTCAGTTTTCCAGTTATATGTAAGTTTAATTCATTCATAACATGTCAGCTGTATTAGGCACTTAAGAATGTTGTTGGTTGCAGGTGGCTCGAGTCTTTTATTATCTTTGTGTCATTGCCCTGCAGTATGTGGCACCTCTGGTGATGCTACTTCATACCACTCTGCTCTTAAAAACTCTAGGTAAGCATACCCTTGCAACTGGGTAGCATATTGGTTTACTTTCTACGTACAATTTATAATGCTTTTTGTTACCTACAAAGAAATATGTTTCTTAAAATGATTTCTCTCTTTAAAAGTTCTTAATAAGAAATATGGGAAACTTAACTGTAGAAGTTGATTTATCATCTTGATTTTGAAACGCAAGTCATATGATTTTATAGCATATGCTTTACTTATAATAACTATTTTCTAAAAGTTAAATCCTAGATTTATTGAGTTAACGAGTGAGCACTGTTGTTCTTATTTTGTGTTACAAGATTAAAATTGTGTTAGTGTCAAACATTTAAATTATTAGAGAGTACTTGTAAACATATGTGAATTGTAGAATCCTTTGGTGAGTTCTGCCTTAGATAACTTATTGTTGAAAGAGTAAAGATTTCTCTGGAAGAAAAAAGTTCTCCAGTAAGTCTTTTTTTACTAAGGTATTGTATTCTTGTGTGGTCTTGTTTAAGAACGATCCATTATTGTACTGATCATTTCCCTTTGCATAGGTTAGGCAGTCTGCCAGTGTGAAAGTTCAAGGAAGCCCAAAGGAGCTGAAAGCATTATTTGGGTGGGCTTAGTAGATACCATAAAGCTGATGATAGGTATAAATGCCCTTCGGGAATCTATGGAACATAAAGGAGTAGCTCAATTGTAAATTATATGAATCATATCCTGCATATGGTAAAAATTTTTTTTGAAGCTATTAATAGTCTCTAACATGGAAATCATAGATAATTTCTCAGAAAGAAATTTATTCTGATATTCTGGAGATAGAAAAGATTTCTAAGAATTCATTGAATCTGTCACTCTAGTAGAGGTAGTTGATTCATGTATTATACAAGGAAAAATTGTTTTTATTATTTTAGCACATTTTAGTGCAGTTAATTAAAAAATAAATTAAACTTTCAGCTTTTATATATGTACTTTTAAAGATGAGGCCAGATTGTAGTCTGGTCAGGTTAAGTGAATTTTTTACCAGCACAGCAATATAGAAATATAATTATTTCACTTTCTTTTCAGTATAAAATTTGTTGTGCCACTAGACTTGTTTTTGATCTCAAATATAAGTTAAAGAATATGTCTCATATATATTTAAATACATGTACACTTTTCTTAATAAGAAGCTTTGGAATTACTCTTCAAGTTTCATTTGTGTCTTGCATTTTCTAGGTAATCATTCTTGGGGAATTTATCCAGAATCTATCTCTACTTTGCCGGTGGATAATAGTCCGCCCTCCCATTCTGTTTACTCTGAATTACCATCTCCTGATGGGAAGATGAAGGTAACTGTTACTCAAATAACAGTGGCACTGAGCAGCTTAAAAAACATTTTCACTCCTCTGCTTTTTCGAGGACTTCTGTCTTTTTTGACCTGGTGGATTGCTGCTTGTCTTTTTTCCACAAGCCTTTTTGGGCTTTTCTATCACCAGTATCTGACTGTGGCGTGAATCTCAGTTAACAAAACAGGATATTCAAGTCATATTTTGAATTCAAATATGTGTGCCCTTGAAGGACTGACAAAAACCAGAAGAAAGCAAATACAAAGGAAAATAAAAAACATATCAGAATATCTTATTTTAAATGCTTCCTCTGTATTCTCAGGGTGAATTAATGATATAATATTTAAAATTACAGAATAGGTTGTTAAGTGCTATACTGTGGCATTGGAATATTAATTCCTTGTATTAACTGATGTGAGAGGGCTATCTACAGTGGTAATACTTCTGATTACCTTGGTTTACAAAAACCTCCAGCAGTCTTTGAAACTTCTCATATGACTCCAGTTTATTGACTGATTGCTCTTAATGGTGTTGAGGTACTGTTGTTATTCATAGTGGCTGCCTATAGAACAATTTTCAAACTGAGCCATGCTTTAGGGGGGAGGGAAAGGAACTAAAGTCACTTCTGTTGGTACTAGATTAGTCACTCTTCAAACAACAAAATCCAACAGAAAGAGAGAAATAGCTACTGTATATTACAGTAAAGAAAGCTGCACAGTAATTTTAAATATAATGGAGACGTGTGTGCTTAATATCTATAAGTACTGCTGCTTGAGAGTGGCAAGAGTATTGTTTTAAAATGTATTCTATCCAATTTGAGGGATCTTTCAAGATGATTGGTCATATGAACATTTGCAATCTTGCTGTTAGGTTTGGACCTCCCTTATTTTATTTTATTCTATGATCGTAAAGAGTTCTTTTTAATAGTCTAAAAATATTTATCAATATTGATCAAACTTTTAAAAAATTTCTTTGTAATCCTGCTGATTATCTGTATGTATTGTATATATATATTATATATTAAATATATAATATATTGAGATTATAAAAGATGAAAATATCGGTTCCTTATAATATTTTAAGTTGCTGAATGTATGTTAAAATGTGATTGAATGAATTGTATTTGTATCTAGGAATTTTCTTTTTTGGAATGAGATTAAAATATGTTTTAAAAGTTCATCAGAGCAAGCAATTTATTTGTGTTGCCTATCTGTGAGATTACTTAAAATTTTGTATTTAGGTGATTTCTCCCAAATTACAATTCTTTTTTGTCACTTTCAAAAATCAGTGCCTTTCCCACTGTAAACAAATCTACAGGTATTATTTAAACCCATGCTAAACAGGGCTTGTTTTAAATTTATATTGTGGAGAATTAGTTATATTAAATTTTCACTTTACAAGTCATTAATTCAGGTAATTTGAATGGAAAATTCTAAGAAGAGTAAAGTTATTTTTAATGCATTTTACATCTAAAATCCAAAATGAAGTATCACAGTCATAAAGCAAATTACTATGAGATAAGCTAGTACTTTAAAGTGTAATTTATAAATACTCATTGATGTACTCAACAGACTGTGACTGTGTTTTGGTGCTGCTGTCACTACTGAAAGAAGTTTTGGAGTCTTCTTTTGGAATTATTTTCAGGGCTTGCTTCGTGTAAGAATTCATTCATGTGATCTCAGTATAGCATATTCTTGCCATTTGGTATAGATTAAATATTTTGAAAAGAGCTGATATTTTAAACAGGACTGAGTAAGAAGTGATCAGATTGGATAAAACATTTGGGGTTGGAGTGAATTGTGAATGTAGCCAAGTGATAGTTCATGTGTATTTCTAAAAGAATTTTAAATATATCTTGACCTATATCAGCATCACTAAAATAAGTATCTCATAATAATATTATAGCAAAGTATAACTTGCATTTATATGTGAAGTTCTTACATTTTGCATTTGAAAAGAACCTTATCTGGGATTTGTAACTATTCTTACTAAACAGATCCATTTTAAAAGTTACAATTAAACTTATTTTGAGTTTCAAAGATTATACAGTGTAGTAATATGGAATGGAAGGGATAGAATTCATTATTGCATGGGATAGCATGCACTGTTATTGAACTCGAATTCTCCCTAAGTGTGCTGTGAACTTAACAACCTGCTTATAATTTAAATAATTTTTGGTTTAATTTTTTGCCTTTATTGCCTTTCAAAGCAAAGGTGAAGAGAGTGATGGTTATAGTTACTAACTGATTTATTTAAACATTTTGTCTTTGTATCAGAAATTGTGTTAAGTACAAAAGGGTTTGTACTTTCGTAAACAATACTGTTTTCTAATTGAGATATATTGACACATAACACTGTTGGTTTTAGGGTGTGTAACATAAGTTGATATGTATATTGTGAAGTGATTCCAAATAATACTTCAATAGCCTAAATTAAGCCAATAATGTTATTTTAATATTGGATAATATGAATTTCTTTTAGTCAGTATAAATGGTTCAGTGGTCAGTTTTTTAAAGTATGTTTATGTCAAATTAAGTAAGAGCACCTATACTGTTGGCTTCTTGTGACTGTGGAATTTTATTAGACAATTTGTATATTCCTACTTTGCCTTCTTTCCATTATGCTATATAAAAATCAGAGTTCTATTCTGCCTCCTACCTCAATTGATTTGTGTGAAATGAAAAGCATATAATTTTATCTTGGTATCTGTATGCATTTTGATTATCTTTGGTTTTTTCCCCAGAATTCCAATTGCTATGCCTAAGTAACCAATGCATTCAAGTAGAATGGACTCATTGTCTTATTGTTTCTGATATAAATATAATTGGTAAAATACTGACATTTCTTGAGTTATGATTCAGAAGAGATACTCATCCATTATCATCTATTAATGGAATTGATAGGTCCAGGAAGCAATAAGTAGAATTCATTATGAAATCTATAATTGGAACTTCACTGGACAGATTTTATTCTTTCAAATGAAAGATTAAATTCTTAGTACTGCAAAGCAGAGGGTCTCAACGTTCTATGAATTCATACACACTTTCTGAGCCATCTCATAATTGAAAATGGTCTATCATGGGTATATGACTCTATTCAACAAAATAAAACTAAGTGATTTTTGAATGTGGATCATCATGTGTCTTCAAAGAGCTTTAGGTGGTTTAAAAAAATCAGACTTAAACACACTTACAATCCTAGAGCTTGAATTTAGTGTATTGAATTGTTACATAATCTCACTTTTTAACTTCCATTTGTCTTGATGTGTCTGTAAACCTGGGTTATAGTTGAGCTGGTAATATGTGATGAAAACTGATTTGGAGACTAAGGATGGTCAAAAAGCTATGTCACCTTTTCTCTTCTTTTGTTTTCTTTCTTAGAAAAGAAAAAAAAAAACAACAAATACAGCCTGTTCATATACTTACCTTCCATTACTATTAAACTCCTTTTTAGCTATAGACTATTACCAGTATTTTTGTTGAGCCTATCTAATGATTCAGAGTATGTTTTTTTCTATCCCATTGTGGGTATTATCCCCCCCCCTCCCCAACACACACCCATATCTCCCTGTAAGTGGTTACTCTACTTTCTCCCATTTGGCAAAAGACTGTTGTCTTAAAGTAACATAATTGGATGGAAAGAATGTAAGTCTAAGAATGAGAAACATCTTGTCCTGTTTCTGCCTGTAGTTAGCTATTTGTTTTTATCAGGCATTTGGCACATACTAATTAAATAGAACTGAATTATCTCTGTTGACCTCAGTTTTGTCATATGTAAAATTAAATCATTTACATTACATGTATGGCTATATATCTAAATGTGATATCAATTTCTCTTTGTGGTGGCAGGAGAAAAATGAAGCTATTTTTTTGCTTCAGGAATGGTTACAGATCACATTACTTAGAGGGTTATTTATATAAAGTAGACCCCTCCTTATGGTAGGTCCACAATCAACAAAATCAGTTTACAGTGAGTCCTTCCTATTAAAACACAAATTACTTCACTATTATTCACATCACTATTGCTGCCAGTAGACCATTTGTGGATGGTGCATTTGACTAAACTGTTAGCATATGAGCCAATCACTGTGTATACTTTTTTGTTATTGAGGTAACACTGGTTTACAATGTTGTTTGTGATTTAGAGTTATAGGATCTCCCCTTCAGGTGTTGCCCTACCACACTCACTACCAAAACACCATTAGTCCACCGTACGTAGTCCATTGGTTTCCCTCCTCACTTTGCTCTCCCCTCTTTCCTACCCCTCCAGTATCCTCCTACAATCAGATTTCTAGGGTTTGTTGGCTTTAACTGACATTTATCTGACCCTTTGTTTCTCTGTGTTCCACGTGTAACTGAAACCACCTGGTATTTCCAATTCTGATTTACTTCACTTACTATAATCCCCCCTAGTTCAGTCCATGTCATCACATATGGCAGGAGTTTATCTTTTTTATAACTGAAGAGTATTCCATTTTGTGTGTGTGTGTGTATCACATTATAAGAGATATAACATGAATCTGCCTTCTTAAATTTTTAAGTGTTTAGTGCAGTTTGTTGAATGTGTGTACATTGTTGGGTAGCACATTTCTAGAATTTTCACATCTTTGACTAAAACTCTTAAACAATTGAATAGTAACTCTTCTTTCTCTTGTCCTCTCTGCCCTAACAACCACCATCTACTTCTGGCTTCTTATCTATTTGACTATACGTGGTAGCAGCATATAAATAGAATCATGAAGTTTTTGCCTTTGACTGGCTTTCACTTATTAATATCAAGCATGCTGTCATCTATGTTGTAGCATATACGGGGTTTCCTTTTTCAAAGGTAAATAGTATTCCAAAGGTAAATCTATTCCACTCCTATGCTTTTATCCTTGATGGACATTTAAGTGTGTCTACCCTATGGTTACTGTGAATAATGTTACAATGGGAGTGCAAACATTCTTCAAGATCTTGTGTTTTTTTTTTTGTGTTTTTTTTTTGGATAAATACCCAGAAATAGGATTGCTCTATCATACCATAGCTCTTTTTTTTATTTTTTTGAGGAGTCACCTTACTCTCTTTCTGTATCTCTTTTCCAGTACCACCAAAAATGTACAGAGGTTCCATTTTCTCTGTAACTTTACCAGCACTTGTTATTTTATGGGTTTTTGATTGTGCCATTTTAACAGGCATGAGGTGATATTATAATTTTGATCTGCATTTCACTAATTACTGATGTTAAGCATCTTTATATACCCGTTGACAAATTGTATGTATTTGGAAAAATGTCTGATCAAGTCCTCTGCCCATTATTTAGTTGCATTGTTTTTTGCTCTTCATTTGTGTATGAATCTTAGAGTTTATTAATCCATAATCAGGTATGTTTTACAAATATTTCCTGCCATTCTGTAAGTTACCTTTTCATATATTGACTGTTTCAATTGCTCTATAGAAGCTTTTTAATATTATGTAGTCCCACTTGTCTAACCATCTTTTGTCTTTAGTGTCATCAAGGGTACCAGTGTCATGAAGATTTTCCCATGTGATTTTTCCTAGGACTCTTAACATTTTCAGGATTTATATTTAAATCTTTAGTCCAATTTATGTAGACTGTTGAAAAAATTGTCCTTTCTATATAGTGTACTTTGCTTGCTTGTCAAAGGTCAATTGCATGGATTTATTTCTGGTTTCTCTATTCTGTTCCATTGAGCTATAGGTCTGTTTTTATTCCAGTACCACAATGTTTTAATTACGTAGCTGTAATTTCAAATTGAGGAAATGTGATGCCTCCAACATTGTCCTTCATTCTCAAAAGTACCAAACATTGTTCTTCATTCTCAGAAATGCTTTGGGCATTTGGGGTCCTTTGTGTTTCTCTCTGAATTTTAGGATTTTTTTATTCTATTTCTGAAGAAATGTCATCGAGTAGGGGTTACATTGAATCTGTAGACATTTTAATATTTCAGTCCATGAACATAGCTTTCCATTTATTTTGTGTTTTATTTAATTTCATCAGTGATATGTAGTTCTCAGTGTAGAAGTTTTCATTTCATTGGTTAAGTTTATTCCTAAGTCTTATTCTTTTTGGTGCTATTGTAAATTATATTTTTTTCCTTAATTTCTTTTTCAGTTCATTTTTAGTGTGCAGAAATGCAGTTATTTTTGTATTTGATTTTTTTTTTTAAAGATTTAT